CAAGACTGAAACTTTCCTTGTTGGGAAGAATTGCAGCAGTTAAGATGAATGTATTGCCAAGAATGTTGTTTCTGTTTCAGGCCCTGCAGATCGTGGACAGAGTGGAGTGTTTTGGAAAGTGGCAGAGGGATATTATGAAGTTTGTCTGGCAGGGCAAAAAGCCCCGAATAAAAATTAAAATACTAACAGATGCAAAGGAAAGAGGGGGATTTGCCCTGCCGGACTTAAGGTTGTACTATGAAGCTGCATCCTTCTGCTGGATGAAAGATTGGTTTTTGTTAGAAAACACTGATGTCCTAGATCTGGAAGGGTTTAACAATGCTTTTGGGTGGCATGCATATTTGTGGTACGACAAGGTAAAGTTTCATAAGTTGTTTAAAAACCATATTGTCAGGAAATCTTTGTTTACTGTCTGGACTAAATACAAGGACTTACTCGAAAACAAGACTCCGAGGTGGCTATCACCGATGGAGGCTAAGGCCACAAAAATACTTAATATGGGGGGTGGCTGGGCAAAATACTGTGAAATAATAGAAAGAGTGGGTGACACTTGGAGGTTGCAGAGTTTTGAAAAATTGAAAGGAAAGGTGCGAGACTGGTTTCATTACGCCCAAATTTTAGAGATCTTTAAAAAGGACAAAAAAATTGGTTTCCAGGTGGAAAAATCAAAATTAGAGTTAGAACTACTTGAACCTAAGACGAAAGTGCTTTCAAGAATGTATAACTTGTTGCTTAAATGGAATACTCAAGACGAGACTGTTAAATCAGCCATGATAAAATGGGCACAAGATATTGGGTACAACATTATGTTTGAAGACTGGGAAAGGTTATGGACCACCGGTATGAAATTTACGGCATGTAGTGCCTTAAAAGAAAACATTATGAAAATGATGTACAGGTGGTACATGACCCCAGTCAAACTTGCAAAGATATATCATTTGTCTGACAATAAATGTTGGAAATGTAAGGAGGCTGAAGGAACATTCTTTCACCTTTGGTGGACATGCCCGAGGGTGAAGGCTTTTTGGGAAATGATTTATAACGAGTTGAAAAAGGTATTTAAGTATACCTTTCATAAGAAACCAGAGGCCTTCCTCCTGGGCATTGTAGGCCAGAGAGTGCCAAAGAAAGATAGAACTTTTTTTTTATATGCAACTACAGCAGCAAGAATCCTTATAGCCAAATACTGGAAGGCACAGGAGCTACCCACGCTGGAAGAGTGGCACACGCAACTGATGGATTACATGGAATTGGCTGAAATGACTGGCAGAATCCGAGACCTGGGAGAAGAGGCAGTGGAAGAGGATTGGAAAAAATTTAAGGACTATTTACAAAAACATTATAAGCTATATGAATGTTGAGAATTTGCTAAGTTTTGAGAAAAACATGCTTCGGTATTGAGATTCGGAAATGATTGAAATTAAGTTATGACTGAGAAAAGTTTAAATTTTAGAGTAAATAATTAGATGAAAGTACAAAAACACATGAAACAAGGTATTAATTTGCTGTTCACTTTTATTGTAAAGAATGCAGGGATGGAGGATGTGGGGAAGTCCAGTTGATGATGAAAAAAGATTTGGAAAAATGAATTTTCTTATATTTAATTTCTTCTTTCTTTTTGTAAAACAGCTTTTGTTGTGTTATTGACGATGTATTCTGACCTTGGAAAATAAAGCAATAAAAAATATTATTAAAAAAAAATAATAAAAATAAATAAATCTTAAGCTAGGAGAGCAAGAGGACACTTGCTTAGCTGAATAAGCTAAAACTAGTTGTGTATTCAAACAAAAAACTCATCAGTTAGCACTGGCTTTAAAAAAACCAAAACCCGACTTACTAAAACACAGGCTTAGAACTTAAGCTTTATGGTCCTATATGAAGGATTTGTTTTATCATGCATGCATGGGAAAACAAATTAATAAACCTTTAGTTATGCTAGAGCAACAATCCTCTGTTTCCAATTTTGCTGGAGTTTGCTAGCTCTAATTGAAAGATTTAGAACTTCATAATTTAGACAAGCCTGTTTCCTGTCGGATTTTTTAATCAGTTTTGGCTGCAACCCGTCAGTTCCAATTATCAGCCCCTCATTTAATTATAGAACTAAGCCTGCTAAGAATCTGTCAAATTCTCATTTATGAACTCTTATTTTCTTTTATTTCCCTCTTTTTGTGCTTACATAACTTGAAAAAATGGATGAATGCTAACACTCTACAGATTTGTGCTTCCAAGAGGAAACTGGGCTGAGCATTTGAGTTTTGTACAGAGAAGAGCTTAACTGAGAATATTACTTCTTGGGTTTGGAATAGCACATAGCATAATCAGTTTTGGAGTGTTTTTTTTAAAGGTCCTTTTTTAAGGACCTGAATGGTCAGGGAAGAAGGGGTGGACTGCTAAAGGCAGGTGAGAGATTGTTTGGGAGTACATGTAGTTTGTTGGTAGAGCACCTGATTTTCATGCAGAAAGTCTTTGGTCCAGTCCCTGGCATGTGCAGGTAGAGCCAGGTAAGATCCTTGCCCCCAAACCCTGAAGACCCAATGCAAGTCAGTGTGGATAATACTCAGCTAGAAAGACCCAACCGTCTAACAGCTCTTTGTGTTGCTATAAGTGTGAGAACAAGGAACAAGCTCTTGAGCTAATCTGGATCAGTTGAAGCTTTTTGAGTGGAAAGAGAGAGAGAGAATATTGCCACAAGCTAGGATTGGAAATCTCCCCTACTTACCCATCCTTGTTCAGTTATTCATGCCAGCCTTGGTCTTTGCTGGGAGGTAAAAGGCTAGCCCTGGGCTGAGGATTTAGTCACACAGACAAGGGGCTCATTTCTAGGCATAGGTCCATGCTTTAAAGCTCTTTTATTGAAGAAGAACAGGATATTTCAATGCCCTCATCATCACAGAGGTGTCTGTGGAGGGGATATATTGATTGAAAATGTCTAGCCAACCAGATCAGTAATTGGGTTCCTATTGAGGATATTAGATGAGCCAACATGACAGTGATGTGGGATTCAGGATTGGAGTGATCGTTCTGTGATATCAGGGCAGTGGACAAAGCTGTATTGTGACTTGTGAATATATGTTTTAATATATCTCTTTTTAAGCTCTGTGTCCAAGCACTTCTTTTTCTTTTGCTGCAGTGCTTTCTTCATGAAAACCTGCTCTTTGCCGCTGAATTGAAGCAAATGGCAATCCACAGAATTGCTGTTTGTTCCGATTCAGTGTTAAAGAGCAGGTTTTCTTGAGGAAAGCAGAGCCAGGGGGGACGCACTCTGGCACAGAGCTTGAAAGCGTGGACCTGTAGCTAAAAAGCTCATGGCAAGAGGTAAGTATGGATGGGCTCCTATGCATCTCATTGACCGGAAAAGGAGCATGAAAATTGGGCCATAGGTCTGAGGCTAATATTTGGGGCATTTTTGTCAAACTCTTAGACAGCCAGATTCTGAAATCTGGAGGGAGCTGACTCTTCCAAGGGGCGAGAAAAGGGCTTTTTATCCAAAGCCAGCAGGGCTCGAGAACGCACCTTTCCCGTGCATGACATCATCAAGCTTGCACAGCGACAGAAAAAGGACACAACTTCTGGCTGAAAAGGAATCTATCCTCAAATAGGGTATTGCAGAGCTGAAAAAGGTTTAGAAAGGTTTAGAAAATTGGCAGTATATTCAGGGGGATGGAGCAATTCACTCCCCTGTGATGGGGGGAAAGTTTATCTCTCTCGCTCATAGTACTAGAACTTGGGGACATCCAATAAACTTGGGGGCATCCAATGAAGCTGTATATTTGGGACAGATAGAAAATTCTTTCTTCACACAGCACATGGCTACTGTGGAGTTGGCTCCCACAAGACGTGGCAATGGCCACCAACTTGAATGACTTTAAAAGGGAATTATGGCCAATAAGGCTATTAGTTGAAGGCAGCATCCGTCTGTATACCAGTCTCTGGGAATCACACTCAGGAGCATTCTTGTCCTCAGGTTCTGCTTTCAGGCATCTGGTTGGTCACTGTGAGAACAGGATGCTGGACTTAGATGTGCCTTTGGCCTGAACCTGCAGGGATGCTCTGGTGTTCTTATGGTTATTTGCTCTCCATTGACTTCCGTTATCTTATGAAGGATCTTTCATCTAGCATCACAACCCCTTCTCCTAAAAGAAGGGCTGTGGCTTCAACAGCAGTAAGGCAGGCAGAAATTCAGCAGGTACCGTATAAAGTTATCGTCACACTCATAGAATCCCAAACTCCCAGTGTGGCTGGAGAAACCTAGCCAGATGGGCGGGGTATAAATAATAAAGTTGTTGTAATAAATAATAAAACTGCTGTTGTTATTGTTGTTACATTGTTCAAAGATGAACGAATTGTTTCCATATTTTGAGAATGTTGGTGGCAGTCCTGATGTTCGTTCATCTCCATGCATTAGCAGAGTTTATTATGGAATAATACTGGTTTTTAGTTGTACAGTGGTACCTCGGGTTACATACGCTTCAGGTTACATATGCTTGAGGTTATGGACTCCACTAACCCAGAAATAGTACCTCAATTTAAGAACGTTGCTTCAGGATGAGAACAGAAATTGTGCTCCAGCGGCGCGGCAGCAGCAGGAGGCCCCATTAGCTAAAGTGGTACTTCAGGTTAAGAACAGTTTCAGGTTAAGAACAGACCTCTGGAACGAATTAAATACTTAACTCGAGGTACCACTGTACTCTGACAGCAACCAGTAAATTACCAAGGAAGCTATAGTGTATGGAATGAACAGTCTCTCTCTCCCCCCCGCTTCTAATTATTGTTTATTTGGTTTTGTGTTCGCTAGGAAACTGCCATTTGGCAACAAATCTACTAAAATGGACAGGAAAATGTCTCGTTTCAGATAGTTGCACATTTCTTGGGACAGCGGCAGTTCTTATTAGCAGGGCGTCAGATTTGTAGACTCTATAAGCTTCCCTTGGGCGCATTGTAAAGCATTGTCCATGATTCCTTTCTCCATTCTAACTCGGCGATTCAAAATGTTTCTCAAGTGTGCAGCCCCCAAAAAGTGGAAAGCATTTGATGGCAAAGTTACCGAGATGGATACGCAGTTCACGCTGCGGGCCAGGGAGCTGCTCGAAATCTACCGCAGCATTAGTATGAAAGACCTTCCGCAGGATGAACGGCTGGATGTGCTGCTAACGCTGAAGCACACGGTGAAGGTATCTCTCTCTCTCAAGCTTTTAAAGAAGCCCTACTGAGATCACACACAGTACACTGTCAATTACGGACGGTTTGCAAGGGCTTAAGGGGCCCCTGCTTTCATCTTTCGACACCAGGGTGCCCACTATATACCAATACTTTTACATTAGCTAAGAAGTGTAATACCAAAGTCCTAAGCACACTTGAACATAGCGGGACATCTGAATAAACCTGTATAGGTGGATTTATTTGCTGCATTAATATATCCCCTTTTTGCCAAGGCAGTTTACGGTTCAAAATATGCCTGAGCTCAATCCCAAACCCAAACAGCCAGGAAGGAAAATCCCTTTGATTTCAGGAAGCATCGGAGCCAAACTGTACCACACACTGTTCAGCTATTTACAAGTAAATATCGCATGTCTGTCCAATTTGCATTAAGAGCCTGGTGTGGTGTAAGGACCTTTAACCTTCTTATTCATGCACACTCTCATAGAGTCATAGAACACAGGTGTGTTAAATAAGTTATATACCTGTATTTTTCGCTCTATAAGACGCACCAGACCACAAGACGCACCTAGTTTTTGGAGGAGGAAAACAAGAAAAAATATATTCTGAATCTCAGAAGCCAGAACAGCAAGAGGGATCGCTGCGCAGTGAAAGCAGCAATCCCTCTTGCTGTTCTGGCTTCTGGGACAGCTGCGCAGCCTGCATTCGCTCCATAAGACGCACACACATTTCCCCTTACTTTTTAGGAGGGGAAAAGTGAGTCTTATAGAGCAAAAAAAATACGGCAATTGTAGAGTTGGCAGGGACCACAAGCGCCATCTAGTCCAACCCTCTGCAATGCAGGAATCTTTCGCCCAACATGGGGCTTGAACCCACAACCCTGAAATTAAGAGTCTCGTGCTCTATCAACTGAGCCATCCCAGAGCTAGCAAGCACACACATGCACTCTCACAAACACACACATACACTGTAGTACCAGTCTGGTCTGGGCAGGACTGTGCTTGATACTGCATTGGTGGGAAAGAGCTCTTATTCACTCCAGTCAGTGAACACTTTCTATATATAAACAAAGCATAAAATTGATCTGGACAGACAGTTATTTAAAGACAGTGAGATAGGTGTGTGGATACACGATTCCCATTCCCCAAAAAGCTAAGCTTTAAGAAGCCTTGGAGCATTTGCTCTCTCATAATTGACATGCAATCGGTGTAAGGAATTAAGAAATGAGGTGCATGTGATTTGCTAAACATCTTGCTTGCCTTTGCAGGAACATGACTCTAAACTCACACATGAGATAGTGGAATTGATTGACAGAGAAGCAGACCTCATGATGAGGGGAGTGAAGGAATGTAACTTAGACGGGCTCAGACAAAGAATATGTACATTATTTCTTCAGTATATCAAAACACCACTTTTTAATCCAGAGGTTGCTCGACATCTCAAGGTATTTGTTCCTTTTCTTCTCTGTTACAGTTGTTCCTTGGCATGCAGCTAAGTAAAACTACTTGCTAAAGAGTCCATAGTCTACCCAGAGGCAGTTGAATTTCTGCATAATGGAGAGAGGAATGGTTTCTTTTTCCTTATTCAATTATTCAACTGAAGACGTTTTGAGAAGGCTGTGCTGTGTGTATGAATGAAACCCAGGTATCGCTTCTAAACAGCAGGACAAAGGGTGCAAACTTGCCCCTAGTTAATAGGAAGAGATCAACATGGAAAGCAGTAAAACAAACTGATAACAGTGGCTAAGAGTATGAGCTGGGAAGTCAAGCTCAAGTTGCACTTTAGACACATTAAATTGCCTTAGTCAAGTTATTATTTTTGCAGTCTCTGTCTTCCATTTATCATATGAGGATAATCTGCCAAGGCTGTATGGTTCAAGCATGTTGAGCTATAAATGTTAGTGTTGCCATTGTTACTGAGCTTGAACTTATTGCGTTCCATGAAAAGGTAAGATGAACATGATTACAAAATTCAAGGTGCCTTGCTGAAATCATTCAGATGGCACTCATATTTATATGTCATTTTCATGGAGATGTCACCATTCTCTGGTGATTATGACATCTGTCAGAAGAACAAGTAACTTTCTGCTGATACAAGCAGATTGGTTTTAGGCCAGAGGCAATTTTTTTTCAGCCAGCATCATGAAACTAGAATGGAGAAATGTTGAACAGGGTTATTGGCTACAGCTTTATTTCTCCCCAAAAATTTGGGCTTCTGAGTCATTGCATCTGGAGACCAAGGCTATAGGATAGCTATGTTTGGATTTAATACACCTTGGCAGGAATGCCAGTCTCAGAAATAACATTTAAAGCAGTTTTAAGAACATTAGTGGCAACCAGACAAACCAAACTAATTACTTACTTAGTATGCTGGAAGAGCTGCTCATTTGGCACTGAAAATGCCAGACAGGTTTGAGTGCATGAAACCACATTGAAAAGAAATGGGTGCTTCTCTTCTTATTTAACTTTATTGCACAAAACACACATGAGAATAGCATTCTAACCATCTGATAATTTGTGTGTGTTTAAAACTGTTTTAAATTAAGTATTTTAAAGTGTTTCTGTCAAAGCAACTGAATGCTAGCTGGAGGGTGGGTTTTATCAGCTTTGCAGCTGATATTCTCTGTTTTGTAAAAGGTTGAAGGCACTGAAAGTGAAAGGGCACACATATAAAACTGAAAAATGAAAAATATTTCCTCAAAACAAACACGTGTTGTTATTGGCAAATATAGAGAAGGACCATAACTAAAATGTGCACTTACTGCTTCTTCAAAATCGTTATGGCAATTAAAAGGAGATCATTCTATATAATTTTTGTAGTAGGTTGCATTGGCAATAAAGGAATAAAGAGATAAAAATAAAATAAATGACTAAACAATGGTTTCTGAAGCCTTTAGTGTTTCCGCCTTCATCTCTTGCTCTGCATCGTCTCAAAAACACAACCATAGTAGTCCATATGGACAATTTCATTCTTCTCAAAAGTGTTTTTATATAATTTAGCAGAATATTTAGCCCTTTAAACCCATCCTCACATATCAAACTTCAAAAATATGTTCATAATCACTCGGTTTACTGTATATAATGGGGAAACAGATTGCATTTGACAGGCTGCATGCTGTGCTGCAGCAGAATTGTTTTGTAGATATATATTTCTTCAATTTCAAAGGTTTCTATGCATACAGTTGTCAGCGGCTACTGTACTTTGGGACAAGATCTGTGGGCCAGGCTAATGACTGAATGTGGAAAATACTGTTATTGTATATATTGTATATATTATAGCAAATCTGTTTTCATTGCAGGTTCCACCTGATCCAATGAGGCTTTACCAAAACATCCACTTTTGCCTTGGTTGCAAAAGGTACCTGCCCTCTACGGATTTTGCCATATCTGCTAGTTCACACACTGTTGGCCGTTGTCGTCTGTGCTGCAAGCTGGATAACGAGGCTCGCCAGAGGGAAGCCTTCCTGAAATACAAACGTATGCTCCGAAATCTCCGAGAATCAGAATTGAATTATAAGGACGGTGCTAAGATTGCCTTCATACTACAGGTATGCAGAGGACCGAGAATAGTGATGTTAAAGATAATATTTTCAGACAGCACAAAATGGAACAGAGTTTTATATTGTGCTGGCTGTAAGTAGTGGCAGAGCACAGAGGCTTTTACATTACACGAAACTTTCCTTTTTCGTTTTGTTTCTTGCCTTTGATGATAAATCAATTCCTGCCAGTGGCCCGTTTGCAGTTCCCAACCCTTTTTGGACACCAGTCGTTGCTATTTCTGCTTCACTAAAGGCTTGCCTTTGCTTCCACACGTGGGCGTGCTACCAAATCCAAGTCTAAACCAATCAGAGTAGACAGAGATGAACATTTGTGAAATCTTGAGTCATGGAGATTTGTATGGTGTGTGTGTGTGTGTTTTGTATGTGTGTGTGCCAGAGGCATTTTGGAGAAAAATACTCATCAAATATGATCTTAAAGGTAAAGGTAAAGGTACCCCTGCCCGTACGGGCCAGTCTTGCCAGACTCTGGGTTGTGCGTCATCTCACTCTATAGGCTGGGAGCCAGCGCTGTCCGCAGACACTTCCGGGTCACGTGGCCAGCATGACGAAGCTACTCTGGCAAGCCAGAGCCGCACACGGAAACACCGTTTACCTTCCCGCTAGTAAGCGGTCCCTATTTATCTACTTGCACCAGGGGTGCTTTCAAATGCTAGGTTGGCAGGCGCTGGGACCGAACAACGGAGCGCACCCCGCCGCGGGATTTGAACCGCCGACCATGCAATCGGCAAGTCCTAGGCTTGTGGTTTAACCCACAGCGCCACCCGCGTCCCTATAAAAAAATATGATCTTACTTTGCTACTTTAGAACTAAAGACAACTTAGCAGCACATAAAATTGTATTGTTCTATGTAGTCCTAGAACAGGGGATTTTTTGGTGAGGCATGTCATGCTCCTTCTGGGGCAGTTTGCCACTTTGGTCCTCACCCTGCACTCAGCTCTCACCTGCGGCTCCTAGAAACATCAGCCACACCCCAGGAAACAGCTTTGACTGACCAGCTGAACCAGATGAGGGTAGCCAATGGGTCTCAAACTGTGAGTTAGGGACTTCCTCTACATGCAAAGACAGATTCCGGTGGATTGAGTGGACAAGACCAAGAGTGGGTCCAACAGTCAAGAAGGCGGTTTCTGCGCGTGCTTTAGAGGGAAGTGGGGGGCAGATGGGACTTGTCAACTTGGGAAGGTAGCCCATCTAGGAGAAGGAAAACGTTGACCCTAAACCTCCGCTGCCTTGTGGGATATCTTTGGGAGAAATCTGGAGAAGAGTCCCGTAGATGATTAGATGGCACCTTGTACGCCTCCTTCCGGCGACTCCTACAGCCAAGCTTGTGTCAAGCATATTGCTCTGCTTTCCTTTGGCGGGGGTGGGGGGTGGGGTCTTGTCAGAACCTTCATATAAGCTTCCCGGGATTGTGTCCCAGGGAGGTCACTTTGGTGGTGCCAACACAGCAGTTTGACTTCACCCTGGAGTCACACTCCCTTGTCTCTTGAGACAGATAGATGCCAGCAGCAACAGTTCTGAAATAAAACAGCATAACTGCAGTTATGCTGTTGTTTTTTTAAAACAATAGCTACAAATATAGGTTTGTGTTCAGTTGTATCCCTTACCTTACAGAATGTTCTTTTTTTCCAGTGGAGGCTTCCATGCATGGAAGGGAGAGGTCAATTATTATTTTTTACAAATTCCTCCTTTCTCTTGCAGCTCCCCATGCCATGTCCCATTCTGATCCAAAGGGTCCCTCGACCCTCTGGAGCAGATTTTGGATGGGTGGGGGCAGCAGGGGGATGGATAACTCCTCCCCCACTTCAAAGAAGCATCAGCTGGGACCAAAGAGCCTTCCATGAGCAGAGGGACACAATAGGATGCAATCTAGTGCCACTGTTGGAATTTGAGCTGCATCCTACGTTACCTAAATATGATGTTCTACCTAATCCAGTATGATACAGTCGTACCTTGGCTTCCAAACGCCTTGCGAGTCAAATGTTTTGGCTCCCGAACACTGCAAACCCGGAAGTTCTTTGGAACCTGAAAGTCTCATGCGGCTTCCACAGCTTCCGGTTTGCTGCAGGAACTTCCTGCAGCCATTCGGAAGCAGCGCCTTGGTTTCCAAACATTTTGGAAGTCGAACGGACTTCCAGAATGGATTCCGCTCGACTTCTGAGGTACCACTGTATTCTGTCTGCATCACCCACTCAGAAGAACAGTGTGAACTGCAAGGGAAGGGGGTTTGTAGAAGTGGATGAGACATGCTTCACTTTGCCTGTGCTACTTCTTACTCTGCTGCTGCCAAAACCTGCATCTCATCTCTGACAAGCTGCTCAGTTCCTCTGCCACGCCACACTCAGCTGCTGTCTGAGAGTGAAACTTGTTTGCACAGGTACTGACAGAACTAGTTAAGTTTCCTATCACCCCAAACCTTTATTGTGGTGGCACCTACATTTTGGAGCAGCCTCGCAGTACATTTCAGGCTCGTCTTTTAGGTTTCCTTTTACAACAAGCCTTTTCAGTGAAGAGTTTTATCCCAGTCCTCATCTGTATTGGACTTGATTTTTGTTTTGATATATGTTTTTATGGTTAAATTGCTTGGGTACGTTTTACAGGAAGCAGATTCATAAATGAAATAAAAAATTAAAAAGCATTTCAGCATAATCTGCAAGAGAGCATGTTTCTTAAGATGAATTTTTAATTTACTCCCAAGTCTTCAGTTTCTCCACTTCAGGCCTCAGGAGAAAAATGAGGGAAAAGGGAGGGATTCTGATATCCCCCCTCCCCCTCCTTTGCCTTCACATCTCTAGGCTCTCTTTGCATTAGTACCATATTACCAGGCCAATATGAGGTTTTCCCTTCCTTTCTGCATCCCCCTTGTTTTACTTGGCAATTCTGGATCCCAAAACCACTGAGGCCTGCTTTACACAATGCAGCAGAATCTACGGAACATTATAAGACTGAGCGTCAATGGCACTTTTTTTTTTAATGCTTCTACTGTACGGGGGTACTGTACAGGACGCGGGTGGCGCTGTGGGTTAAACCACAGAGCCTAGGACTTGCTGATCAGAAGGTCGGCGGTTCGAATCCCTGTGACGGGGTGAGCTCCCGTTGCTCGGTCCCAGCTCCTGCCAACCTAGCAGTTCGAAAGCACGTCAAAGTGCAAGTAGATAAATAGGTACCGCTCCAGCGGGAAGGTAAACAGCATTTCCGTGCGCTGCTGTGGTTCGCCAGAAGTGGCTTAGTCATGCTGGCCACATGACCCGGAAGCTGTACGCCGGCTCCCTCAGCCAGTAAAGCGAAATGAGCGCCGCAACCCCAGAGTCGGTCACGACTGGACCTAATGGTCAGGGGTCCCTTTACCTTTACCTTACCGTACGGGGGAGGGGGGGAACACCTTCCAGTAAGAAATCTGGTATGTCAGAGAGTTACATTGCAGCCTAGGTTGCTCTCTTTGTGTTTTCTCCTTGCAGGAAGTTTCACATAGGGAAACATACAAAAACATGATCTTCCACCTGGAGCGTTGAATGTGTTCAGTCCACTCTGCCAGTCCAGGTTTCTGCCACCTTTTTCTGCCACATGGGTAGACCGGGCTTCATTCATTGGCTCTTCCCCACTGCTTTGGCCACCCCACTTGTTGCTGACAGCCAATAAACAGGCTATCATTTTCATTCGGCAAAGTCCCAGTGAGGTTATTCTTAAGCCATGTTGCGCAGAGGTCAGGCAACTCAAGGAGAATGTAATAGAGATGAAAATATTAGCAACAGCTCACATTCTAGATTTTGTTTCAGTGAGAAGGATATGTCCCTTGGATTAGATTTCATCTTGCTCTTACCTAGTTTTCATTTTGTTTAGAACTCGGGAGTGATTTCTTTTAATTGGCACGGATTTAAAAATAGACCTCTATCCTAAGTTTATAAAGAATTCTTCAGTCTCTGATCTGTGCTGTGTGTATAACAGATGGGATTTTATTCTATGGACTGTTATATACTGCCTTACAATGCTGGTGGCAAAAAATATTTATTATGATGATTATTAGATTTTCTAGCAATATTATTTTATTTAGTCATGGATGTTTCCTCCCCTCTTCCATGACAGTTATTAAATTCACTGCTAGCACTGCTGTGACGCTTGTCATACAGATACAGAACTAGTTACAGATAGGTAGCCGTGTTGGTCTGCCATAGTCAAAACAAAAAAAATTCCTTCCAGTAGCACCTTAAAGACCAACTAAGTTAGTTCTTGGTATGAGCTTTCGTGTGCATGTACACTTCTTCAGATACACTGAAACAGAAGTTGCCAGATCCTTCTATATAGTGAGAAGGTGGGGAGGGGTATTACTCAGAAGGGTGGTGGGAATGGGTGATTGGCAGATAGCTGTGATACAGAACTATTCATGAGCATATTTAGGTTCTCATGGGAAAAATGCCCCCCGCCCCCCGCCACCCCCAAACCCCCAGATTGCCCAGTGAACCTGGAGGTTTTTGTTCTCTGTCTATCCCACTTTCTTGAGTCGTTTGGACGCATTTGTTCTATAAGCACCTTACTGCAGTGGACTTTTTGCAATCTTTCTCACATCACTCTCTAACCATTTACGTCAGGTTTTTGCCCTCATCGGTTTAGCTTATGCTATAAGGAAATAATTCAGCATCAAACTAACCATGATCGTTCCATCTGGGCAAGCGTTTTGAGCCCCCCCCCTCCTCGCCCTGCGTTGGTGTTCTGAGGGTTCTCCTGACCCCATTCCCTGAGCCCATTTCAGAAGGGCATGGGCTGAGATGGGGGAAACCCCATTACCCAGGCCACAGAACTTATTAGATAATAGAATCATTGTTGTTGTTGCTGTTTAGTCGTTTAGTCGTGTCCAACTCTTCGTGACCCCATGGACCAGAGCATGCCAGGCACTCCTGTCTTCCACTGCCTCACGCAGTTTGCTCAAACTCATGCTGGTAGCTACGAGAACACTGTCCAACCATCTCTTCCTCTGTCGTCCCCTTCTCCTTGTGCCCTCAATCTTTCCCAACATCAGGGTCTTTTCCAGGGAGTCTTCTCTTCTCATGAGTTGGCCAAAGTATTGGAGCCTCAGCTTCATCATAGATTCACAGAATTGTAGAGTTGGAAGGGACCCCCCAGCGTTATCCATTCCAACCCCCTGCAATGCAGGAATCTCAGCTAAAGCATCCATGACAGATGGCCATCGAATCTCTGCTTAAAAACCTCCAAGGAAGGAGAGTCCACAACCTTGCTAGGCAGACTATTCCACTGTTGAACACCTCTTACTGTCAGAAGGTTTTCCCTGATGTTTAGATGAATTGCCCTCTGTAATTTTAAACAAGTGTGCAAGTGATTTTGGCAGACATTTCCTGATTGATCATGGTGGATTTCCAAACATTTATGGCAGAGCATCTTCCTTTCCAGAATCATCCAGTATATAAACGACCTTTATTATTTTGTTGCACAAATATGCAATTTCACTTATTAAGTCAGCAGCCTTTGGCAAATCCAACTTGAACATCCAGGCTTTCACATGTTTGAAGCACAGAGTACCTTGATTTCTTTCATTCACCAACATATTCCTATAGCTTTGAATTTAATTGTGTGCATATAGTTGAAGGCTTGACAATGTGGGTTGTTTATTCTTTTTAAAAAGCATGGACTTGGTGTGGGGCAAGCTGTAAGAAAAAGTTCTGACAGCAAGTTAATAGTTGTCAAGAGAGGATACAGAATTTCCATCTGCAGAGGGATCCAAAAATAAGCTTTTAGAAACTTGCATTTTAGACATGCATGTCTTAGAATAATAGAAACTGTGCCTTATTTATTCAAATAAGAGTCTAAACACTATTTGAATGTGGCAGTTTTGTAGTGAGCTTTATTTCTTCTTTTCCCCCTCCTTACTTGCTTTTCCTTTGCAGCTGCAAGACCTGCGCTATATGGTTGAAAATTTCTGGGGTTCTCAGTCAGCTATCAGTGCCTGGGGTGATCTGCATGATCTTGTCATGGTCAGGTGGAATAAATACCAAGAATGGTCTCCCTGGAACACTCTCCTTATCAAAAAGAGCGAGGCAGAGGCTCACCTCAGACTGAAGGATCTCGAAAAGGTATATTTAATGTTAAAATTCAAAATATGCTCTGTTATACTGACTAAATTCTGTACTCATTGCACCTCTGCAGACTAGTGAAATGGAAAGCTCTCTTTCATAGACTTCATGAGGGTTCAGTATTCCTTAGTTTTTGACTGGCTTTCCCATTCTTCTGATGTAGAGATTGAGAACCTCAGTCCTGGGGGCCAAATCCAGGCCTCACTGTTTGGCTCTTGAGATGCCCCAAGCCTCACACCCTGTGGTAAAATTTGTATTCATTGCTTTCACCCAAGCTGAAAAAGGTCCCCTTCGTTCTAAAGTCTTTGGGGCTGCTTTTAATTGCAAACACTGAGTCATTCCATGTCGCATTAGGGAGTTTTAAAAGAGAATGTTCACCTCTAAATCTAATTTGTAAGATTTTCACATCTGACCATGCCTTACTCATCTCTGTTTAACTCTTGCCACTTCTTGCCCTAGTCATTTCTGATACATTCTTCACCAGGTGTTCTTGACTATATGCTTGTTCTGGGAAGGTGGTTTTTGAAAGGTTTCGTGGTTTTTACTTTATTTACAGTGGAACCCTGGTTCTTGAACTTAATCCGTTCCGGGAATCCATTCGATTCCCGAAACCGTTCGAAAACCAAGGCGTGATTGGCTGCAGGAGCTTCCTGCACTCAAGCGAAAGCCCCGTTGGATGTTCGGCTTCCGAAAAGTGTTCAAAAACCAGAACACCGATTTGTTTGTCAACTAAGCTGTTCGAGAACCAAGGTTCCACTGTACTTAAAAGCCTGTTCCCCTAGTTCAGAGTCCCACAGCAATGTCCAGCACTCATATGCAGCTCTCAATGAGCATGGGCTTCCCATATTGTTGCAGGAAATTTGATTTTTTATTTTATTTTTTTAACAAATATTCACTGACAGTTCAATCCTTTGTATGCCTACTCAAAAACAAGTTCCGTTATGTTGAGTCGGATGTACTTTCTCGTGTGGTGTTTTGAAATTGCAGCTTAAATTAATCATTTCTCAGTATTTTGTAAACACTCTGCACAAGTTGATTTGCAGTCGTTATGCACTTCCATTGTAGGGCTATTCTGTTCAGAAACAAACAAAACAAGATTATTATTGTGCTTTGTATTTTTTAAAAAAGTTTATGACTTATTAAATTCTGGGCTTGTGGGCCTGCAGAACAGACATGTGATCAAAATTATAAGGTTAATTAAAATAGATTTAACCTTCTTATTTTATTTTAGCTTATTTAATAACCTTGGATATTTTTCTTCTTTTCAGGCTTATGAGATGATGTTTATCCATAAGATAAGGCACAAGCATATCCTTGCAAGAAACTATTTCTCCCAGTTTCCAGAGCTGGCAGCAGCTTTGCATAGGGATGACAAGCAGACCAACACTGATGATCTTTTAGTAACAAGGTCTTTAACAGCTGGCCCATCCAAGTAACACTCCAAGGATCTACAAGCTTGGTTCTGCTTGAAGGATATACATACAAGTATTCACAGCACTGATTTGTTGTTTGAAGAACCAGTGCAATCTCAAGAGGCAGAAACACTTTCTCTGTCTTTTTCTTAATTGTGCCTTGGCAAGCATGCAACTATGTTAACAAATGGATTCCAAATAATGAATGTTGTGCTGCGTTTATCTCTTTGAAATTTATCTCTGCTTCATATGTAGCCCCATTGGTCTTTACAAAAACCAAGCAAACCCTTTTGTTAAACATTCTTGTTATTCAACAGAAAAGGGCTGCATTATCCTCCTTATGCAACCCCTAGGGGTAGGGAAATAATATCGGTTGGTTCCTTGATCAGCCTTTGCTTTACTTTACTGCCAGTCTTTCAGCTGAAGGAAGCATCACTTTTAAAATCAAAACAGAATTGAGATAGCCACAGTGGATGTTAAATCTGCCCTTCAGCTCAAGGCGCAGTGATCAATATTATTAGCAAGCGCACAAATTCTGTCCAAACCACTTCCCCAGCATTAAATACTGATACAAAACAGGTTACTTTGGCGAAAATACTTTTCAAAAACCTCCCTATAAAGAACTATTTCTACGCATTTGGTTAGAGTGAATGAACTACTTTAATTGCACACATAGACCTCCTTGCACCTAGCGGAATTTTGACTGGCTTTCAATGGCTTCATATATATTACAAACTGTCTTTAAAACTCTCCACATTTTCAGAAGGCAGCATGGAACTGCTGTTCAGGAAACACCAAGCCCAAAGGTACCCCCAGAATTGGCTAAAGAGTTTATTTGGAGTTAGGAAGAGGGGCCTTTGCTGTTGTGGCCTGTTTGGTTGCTAACTAATGCTACATCACCTTTACACATAACCAAGTACAAGCAGTTAGTTACATGCTAGTTATTTAGCATACTTTGAGCTGCCGAATCAAAGTGATCAGCATGCAGGTACTAACAGGCTATTAAGGAGCAAACTACAGCTAACTGAACTAAGCCACTTGCAAAGAGGAAACCTGATCGCTAGTATCTGCTGCCTGTTGCAGAGCTGTCAAGCAGTACCGTATTTTTCACCCTATAGGACGCACTTTTTCCCCTCCAAAAATGAAGGGGAAATGTGTGTGCGTCCTATGGGAAGAATGCAGGCTTTCGCTGAAGCCTGGAGAGTGAAGTCGCGCCAGTCTCCCAAGGCTTCCGGAGAGCTGCCTGCATCCTGAAGCCCGGGGCGCGATGAAAAGCGCGCTCCAGGCTTCGGGCAGCTCTCTGCAAACCTGGGGAGACCGGCACGACCTCCCGCCGGGCTCCCTAGGCTTGCGGATAGCAGCCTGTTCTGGTGCTGGGGTCAGGGGAAGCTTGGGCTTCCCCCGCCCCAGCCCCACGCCTAGGGGGGAAATAATTTTTTTTCTTTATTCCCCCCCCCAAAAAAAACTAGGTGCGCCCTATGGGCCGGTGCGCCCTATGGGGCGAAAAATACGGTACTTTGTGATCTCATTAAACCTCAATATTTATTATGTGAGCTGCGTTTGGGGGCAACTCAAGAGCAACGCCCTTTTCAAGTCCGCCTCCACACTAAGGAAGTTGATAGCATCATCTTCAGTTCTATTCATACAATTGGCATCAGCTCCTTAATAGCCCCCAGCGCTTGAAGTTTATTCTGGGAGTATAATTATTATTATTTATTGAGTTTACATACCACCCTATACCCGGAGGTCTCAGGGCAGTTCACAGAAAAGATCACAACATATATAATCAGAATAAAAACAACAACCCAATAACACACACATACCTGGATGAGTGCACAAATTCTTCTGAACATCAGAGGTGTTCTGTTGAGCTTAAAAGTTTTTTGACATCTACTTGGGAGTCATCATGAACCTTTTGGTCAGTCACAGAACAAGGACTTCAAAAATGCTGGCTGTCAGCTTTTGTATACTATTTATACTGAACTACTAATTGGGGTGATTCCTGCCTGATGTATTCAGAGAAACATCTGGCTTGGCAATGCACAAGTGGAAAGCTGTGTTTGTTTATGCAAAATCAAACCAAAGTCAGTCTTCCGTTGGCATTCAGACCCAATGAAGGCACAGGAGAATACAAAGAACCAAGGTTTCAATGCGTCTTATATATTGCTTTTTAAAATTTGGCTCACTGAAATGAAATAATCTCTGAAAAGAGTAAAGTAAGTGCCAGTTCAGCACATTTACTATAGCTCGGATGACCACCACTGCAAATACTTGATAACTGCCACAGAAAACGATTATAAAGTTATATACATAGTATCTTTTCCTATCTCATTGATTGGACAAAATTTATTCACACTATTCATTCATATTGCATAAGAAAGTGCAATTGAACCTATCTTTCCCCCTAAAAGATATTGACTTAGAAATTTATGCAAAATAGTAGTTAACATTAGTTAAATTTGGCTAAATTAAATATTTATTTTAAAAAGCAAGGCTCTACCTATTGCAAGATACTACAATGGGCCACGGTGCGTTGCTGTAGAAGTATCCATGTTGACTGTCAGCAAGCTACGGTTTTGAGGCACAACACATGCACATCACGTAAACACGAATGTTGTTGTCAAAATATACTTTGCAAGAGTTGTTGGTTTCTCCTTGAGATTCTTCCATTTTTGTTCCAGACCAGTTCCCCTGCTTTGGTGTACAGCAGGGGTCAGCAAACCTTTTCAGCAGGGGCCGGTCCACTGTCCCTCAGACCTTGTGGGGGGCCAGACTGTACTTTTTTGGGGGAAATGAACGAATTCCTGTGCCCCACAAATAACCCAGAGATGCATTTTAAATAAAAGCACACATTCTACTCATGTAAAAACACGCTGATTCCCAGACTGTCCGTGAGCCAGATTGAGAAGGCGAATGGGCCGGATCCGGCCCCCGGGCCTTAGTTTGCCTACCCATGGTGTACAGCAATGTAACCCATTTCCAGTCAAATCATTTGTTACAATCAAATCTTAAGTCTTGTTCAGAGAGGAAAAGGGGTAATATCCTGTTATTGTGGAAGGAAGTACTGCATATTTGCAATGTCAAAAGAGTTGTTTTCAACAGCAGGACAGGATTTCACACTTTCATCAATTTTCTGCAAGCAAGATTTGTGTGCGCACCGTCAGAGTGGATTTGTGTGCATGTTTGAGCCCTTTTGAAATGACTGAATGTGTCTTTTGATGTAAATAAGGTAAAGGTAAAGGGACCCCTGACCATTAGGTCCAGTCGTGACCGACTGGGGTTGCGGCGCTCATCTCGCTTTATTGGCCGAGGGAGCCAGCGTTTGTCCACAGACAGCTTCCGAGTCATGTGGCCAGCATGACCAAGCCGTTTCTGGCGAACCAGAGCAGCGCACAGAAATGCCGTTTACCTTCCCGCAGGAGTGGTACTGATTTATCTACTTGTACTTTGACGTGCTTTCGAACTGCTAGGTTGGCAGGAGCAGGGACCGAGCAACAGGAGCTCACCCCGTCGTGGGGATTCGAACCGCCGACCTTCTGATCTGCAAGTCCTAGGCTCTGGTTTAACCCACAGTGCCACCCGCGTCCCTTTGATGTAAATGGGGATGTACAATTTCTAGGCACACCTGCTAAGGCATAGCAATTGCTCACAACGAAGGTCTATGGAGGTGCTTCACTTTACTGAAAGAGTTGGAGTTGGACTGAAATACTCCCAGCTTCCAGTCTCATCAAATCTTAGGCTGAGTAAGGAAATAAAACCAACTGTAAAGTAAATATATAGGACAGTACGTGGCTGCACTTTGATGATCAAATGTTCAACATAGAACGGAGCATTTGGCCCTAAGAGGAGCACTGAATGGGCCACAGTTCTAGCTACATGGTTTTTACAATAGCCTTTTAGCATAAAATACAGTTTAGGATATATTATATTATATTAGCCGGTGAGATTAATCTGAGGCATGCATGATTGTTGCTAATTGAAAACTTGGGAAGGCTTTTAATTGAGGATTTATAATTGAAGACTTATAATTAATGAACTTACCCCGACGAGTAAGAAGGAAGATACCTTTTTAAGTACAGGATTCCTATAGTGTTAATATTATGCTAATTGGGTCACACTGCAATCCTATTGAAATTAGCTGGATAGGTCAGGCATGTCAAATTTAAATGATCTCAGTGGGACTAAAGCATAGTTAAGTTATTCTGGATCAATTTCACCATTAAAAAATTATATATAAAAAAAACCTTAAAATTTATCTAAAGTGACTCTCTAAATCAAAGATGCACTTACTTTCATTTTGCCATAAAAGCTGATTTCTTCATCAAAGAGCCTGCATTTTTTGTTGCACAGCATCTCCAAAATGCCTCTTCAGAAATGCAGTTAGCAAATACCCATAAATTGTCTCTTTTACAGCAGTACCACTTTTATCCAAGTTTAGATCTCTAAATTTATCATTGTACCACACGAATATGGTGTTGACGTGTGTTCGCAGTCAAAATAATTTACATCAGGAAGTAAACACTTCTACAGCTGGAGAATATAATTCAATATGCAGGAAGGATATCTGTAAAAGAACTGAAGACCAAATAATTCTGAACATCCTCACCTATTACCTGCCTTGTGTACCACAGTGAAAGGTCGTGATTAGCGCTGTCAACTATTGGAAGACAAAAATCTGGTACCTGGGCAGGGCCCTAAAGGTCAAAACTAGAGGTTAAGGAGCAGATAAAATCATTATTAGCAAAAGATTCCTATGGAAGAGGAGAAAGTAATCATGGTAGAATTGCTGCCACTCCCACTGACACAAATCAGAATCGCAGAAATATGCAGCTGTACCAAAGACAACCAGGTGTTATGACCATTAAACCTCGGAAATACATTTTCCCCAAAAGGTTTCCACAGTTTTTGCCTCTAATGTATGCAGAGGCTGTGAGAATAGCCTTGTGACCTGTAAGCACACATGTTGGGTTTTCTAAAGGGTGAAGATCAACAGTTGCTTCCCTTTCCCCTTCTCCACTTTTAGTCCTCCTGTTCAGGCAGAACCCCTAAAGAGGACCAGAGCAGTCTAGCTGTCTAGGGATCTGGTCCAGCAATGGACTCTTAGAGGACAGTTTTTAGTCACCACTGCACCAATGAGTGGTTTTGCACTACAAATTTTAAGAGAAAAAACAGGATTTGGGAGAGGAAATAAAAGGCACCTGGGCAAAAATTGCGAATATATGAAATGAATTTGGTATGTTGTCTTTGTCCTGTAACTACAAACTACAAGGGAAAGGGGGATTATCCTGAGGCACAGAATTTTGGAAAACTGCTGCTGTTGAACTGTATTGTTGTACATAGGCTATTGTGGGACATAGGAAGAGCTTGATTAGATAGGACTCTCGGATGGTGACCCAAACAGTAGCAGACAAAATTAAGCTTACCATTAAGGTTATGGATAATTAAGGTTATCCATAAAAGTTGCCTTTATGGATGTTCTGATACCCATACAGACATGAGATAAGAACTGGCGTCACCCTCCTTCACAAACAATAGGTTACTTAAATCAGTTCTATGTCTTCAGCTAATAAGAGCTTGCATTATTGTCTTCTCATCGTCGCCCACAAGGAAGGGTGGTGGTGTACAAATATATGCCATAGTTTCAACTTGCCAACATCCAAAATGTGTGACATGAGCTTTTGGAGGATGTGTGAAGGAGAACAAAAGTGAAAGATACAAGAATAAACTAGAAATGAGTTGAGTTTAATTTCTGGAACCAAAAAGGACGTCCCTGTTTTCATCGGAGAAATGTTGGAGGGTATGGAATAGGGCGTCCCTATTTTCGGAGAAATGTTGGGGGGTATGTACTTCAACTAAGAATATGATTGCTCAGCTGAGCGATTTGTGACTGTGAATGTTAAAAATCCAGCAATGGAGAATTTCTGTGGTGTCCCTCTTTCCCTTGATGGCCCTAAAGGTAAAGGTAAAGGGACCCCTGACCATTAGGTCCAGTCGTGACCGACTCTGGGGTTGCGGCGCTCATCTCGCTTTACTGGCCGAAGGAGCCGGCGTACAGCTTCTGGGTCATGTGGCCAGCATGACTAAGCCGTTTCTGGTGAACCAGAGCAGCGCACGGAAATGCCATTTACCTTCCTACCTATTTATCTACTTGCACTTTGACGTGCTTTTGAACTGCTAGGTTGGCAGGAGCTGGGCCCGAGCAACGGGAGCTCACCCCGTCGCGGGGATTTGAACCGCTGACCTTCTGATCGGCAAGTCCTAGGCTCTGTGGTTTAACCCACAGCAGCACCCGATGGCCCTAAGCACGTGCTTATTTTTCTCAGTAGTTAATCCAGCCTTGCCAATGGCTCCCAGCAAACTCTGCTTAAGTTATAGCTGTGGGAAATTCAGATGAGGTAAGCATGAGCCTACTAACTCAGAGCAAACTACTAACTGCTGCCTCTAAAAAATGTATGTGAAGCTGGATAGAATAACCCTTTCCCTTGACGTCAAAGTGATCTGAAAGTTCACACCCACGTTAGACCTGGTTTGCTTTCTCTTGTTATCATAAAACAATTCCACCTTTGTTGGCTCAAAACAGTCCTGGTGGAAGCCAGAAGCTTCAGTACCCAGCCGTGTCAAATCTCTCTTCCTTCCTTCTCCACCTTCTCTGACTGGCTATAGTTTCCTGTTCAAGCGGCAAGCCACACACAAACCCTGCCGGCATCATGGCAAGATGCAGCGCTGTTTCGTGGATACAACTCATCTGCTTCTCCAGCGTGCTTTGCAAAGGAGTTTTGTCCTTGGATCATGTACCAATGCTGCTCTGGTCGACACACAGGTGAGACTTTCTGATAAGCCTCAGTACAAAATCGGTCCATTTTAGATCGCTGCTCCTTACCTTTAAAAAAGGCCTAAAACCAAGAGGTGAGAAATTGTGGCCCTCAAGATGTTGCTGGATTCCAACCCAACAGCAGCCCCAGCTGGCATGCCCAATGGTCACAGGTGGTAGGAGTTGGAGACTAGCATCATGTAGAGCAGGGGTAGGCAACCTAAGGCCTGGGGGCCGGATGCGGCCCAATCACCTTCTCAATCTGGCCCGTGGATGGTCCAGGAATCAGCGTGCTTTTACATGAGTAGAATGTGTCCTTTTTAAAAAAATGCATCTCAGGGTTATTTGTGGGGCCTGCCTGGTGTTTTTACATGAGTAGAATGTGTCCTTTTATTTAAAATGCATCTCTGGGTTATTGGTGGGGCATAGGTATTAGTTCATCCCCCCCCCCAAAAAAATAGTCTGGCCCCCCACAAGGTCTGAGGGACAGTGGACCGGCCCCCTGCTGAAAAAGGTTGCTGACCTGTGTAGAAGACCATAGGTTCCTTACTCCTAGCCTAAACTGTTTTAAGGTCAGGATATTTGAAGGTCTTAAATCCCTTCCTCTGTGCTTCTGCCTACCTTGACCATTCAGATCCTTAGCACTGTTTCATGTCAAAGGTTTGGTTCTTGAGCCCTGATAATTTAGTATCTGTTTTGGCCAGATGGCTGTCCCACCCCACCTCCATTATGATGTGTGTGTTGATTTTAATCTGGCACTACTATTCAGTCATTATATGCACTGGTAAGGCATCAGGTTGGGTAGATATACAGTGGTACCTCAGGTTAAGAACTTAATTCATTCCAGAGGTCCGTTCTTAACCTGAGGTACCACTTTAGCTAATGGGGCCTCCCGCCGCCACCACACGATTTCTGTTCTTATCCTGAAGCAAAGTTCTTAACCCGAGGTACTATTTCTGGGTTAGCGGAGTCTGTAACCTGAAGCGTTTGTAACCCGAGGTACCACTGTATATATATATATTGCCTTGGACCCCATTTGTGAGCCAAGTCCAGGAAATGGTCTGAGCTATAGGATGTCCATATTTTCATCAGAGAAATGCAACAGAACTGGAAGAACTGAACATGTGATTCCCAGGAGGTTCTCCATTCTTGCAGTTCTGAAATGAAAGGGACAGTCCCTTTCAATGTGGGCAAGAGGGGTTCTAGATGCCTGCCAGAGCTCTGAGGCCCGTAAGAAATAACTAGATGGGGACAAAATGCCATGAGGAAAGGGGTGTATCGCTTCTTCTTTCTGCCTCTGAAGAAAGACACTTCTCCTCTGTGGAGACCTCAAGCACAGTGTGTGCTAGCGGGAGGATACGCTTTCTGGAAGAATCACATCTTCTTAGATAATTTTCTGTAAAATGGAAATATTAACAACTGTTTAGGGCAATGTGCCTCTGCTGGTTTGGGGGCCCTGGAAAATGGCCCACTTTGCTACCTGATTGAGCCAGCCCAGAGCTTGTTTGTGTGTGTGTGTGTGTGTGTGAGAGAGAGAGAAAGAAAGAGAGGGGGGGGCTAAGTGCATTTTTTAAAAAAAACCTAAGTTCTGTAATTTTGAAAGCAAATAGACAGTTGGGAAAAACAATAATGTATTCTGAAATAACACTGCTTATTAAAAATGAAAATGTTTTCAAGTCCCCTTCGCCCTTTATCCTTATCTGATAATGGCTGCACCTGTTGTCACCACAAACAGGTGAATCAGGAGCTCTTCTCTGTAGAAATAAGATGACCTAGAATTAGAAAACTTCAGTTCATGCAGGTAATAAAGCCAGGCTTCTCTCTGAAGAACAGCCAGAAACTTGCTCCATGCAGTTTCTTTCTCCCCGATTCCATATTAAAGCCGGTTTATGTTTGTAGTGTGATGCACTCAGGAATCCGTGAACTTTGAATTTCAAGAATCCAACAGCCTGACCTAGGAGACGTTTGACAACAGGAAGGGGGAGGGTGAAGAAGGGTGTGGTTGTCCTTGAAGTATCTCCTCTATTATGGTGTCAAGAAGCTCTGCTGAGATAGGAAATGACTGCTGTGGTTTGAACTGTGATTGTGCATTGCACAACCATTTCGTGCATAGTTTCGATGTGCCCATAAAGCAGGTCTGGACAGAGGAGTCCCATATGTCCTATTTCTATTTGAAGACATTAATCAGAAGTGGCCTGTGGTCCTCCAGATTCTTTCGGACTCCAGCTCTCATTATCCCTGGCCCGCCTGAAACATCTGGAGAGCCACATGTTCCTCATCCCTGCTCTGTTTGAAAGGCCAGTCAGTCCTAAATCTGGCTCCCTAGTTGGTCAGGGGGCAGATTGGGGCAGAGAAATCTTGTTGGGTCAAGCAAGGGAAAAATCAAAGGTTGAAGACCTGCCAGATTCATGTATCTTTCCTCTCTTCTCCTTCCATCACAGTTTATTTTTTATTTTTTTTAAAAAAAATGCCTTCCAACGCTTCTAATGGAAGGGGATATCGTTATGCCAGCTCCCCAGCTGTTTGGGGAATGTGGCAGGGAAATTAAATAAGCCACACCAACCCCTCCCTCAGAGCACACTCACACACCCTTGCTGTTGGTGCACTAACAGCAGAGTGGCAATAGCTGCAAGTCCTTTTCATGCTACCTGGGCAGAGGGATTCTCCCTCTACTGCCATGGCCACAGAGATCCACAACATGTCATGGCCCCTGAGGGACCACAGAGCTGCACCCTTAATTCCTTTTTTGCAAGTACCTTTCAAAACCAGCAGAGAGCATGCACCACCTGAAAAGAGGGAGAAGAGGGAATGCCTTTATTATTATCTTGCATGGTGAAACAAACCTGGTCTGCCATCTAAAGTAACAATGCACACATCTCTCCAGAGGCAAATGTGTGCAAATTCAATCAAATCATAAAGCATACAGTTCATTGACTAAGGTCCCCCCCCCCCCAGTTAGATAGCAGTTCTAAGAAATGCTCACTACCACTTCTTGCTCAACCTAGAAAAGGTCAGTTTGTTTATTTTTTAAAAATGCTAGTTTGCTAGCAGGGGCGGAGGAAGGGGGGGTGAGGTGGGTGTGGCCCACGACAGGTGTCACCACTGAGGGGGGTGACAAAATGCTGGGCGGTGCTCATTGCGGGGCCTGCAGCATGCCCAAGCCACGTGTCTCTCCTGGAATAGATGTGGAGGCTTGGGCGTGTTGCAGGCGCCACACTGCCCAAGCGGTCCGCCTGCTGCCTCTCCCCCTGTCATGGTCCGGTTTACGGGCAGTCAAAGTCCTGGCGGAGGACATCGGGACTGGGGCAAGACAGTGGAGTAGGAGCAGGAACAGGCGTCTGGAAGCCAGGAAGCCAAGGGTCTAAGAGCCGGAAGTCAAGAAGCCAAGGGTTCAAGGATCAAGAAGCCAAACGTAGCAAGGCAGGAAGCGTGTTGCTGTGGCAAAGAGCCAAAGGGAAATGCTGACCCTTATATCCCTTCCCGGCTCTTGCAGCCAGGTGCTGTGAGTTACCAATCGGCCTCACCTGTGTGGCCGCGCCTTGTCTCTTGAGAACAAACGTAGGAAAGCCCCTGTCCTGCGAAGCCCTACCGGTCACAGGGCCTGGGCTTCTGCACGTACTCCTGACACCCCCAGCCCTATGGGTGGCTCGTCCCACCCCTGGGTGCACCGCCCCAGGTGCCCGAGCAGCTTCCTCCACCACTGTTTGCTAGCCAAACAGTAAAGGTAAAGGGACCCCTGACCATTAGGTCCAGTCGTGACCGACTCTGGGGTTGCGGCGCTCATCTTGCTTTATTGGCCGAGGGAGCCGGCGTACAGCTTCCGGGTCATGTGGCCAGCATGACTAACCTGCTTCTGGTGACCCAGAGCAGCGCACAGAAACACCGTTTACCTTCCCACTGGGGCGGTACCTATTTATCTACTTGCACTTTGAGGTGCTTTCGAACTGCTAGGTTGGCAGTAGCAGGGACTGAGCAACGGGAGCTCACCCCATGGCGGGGATTCGAACCGCCGACCTTCTGATCAGCAAGTCCTAGGCTCTGTGGTTTAACCCACAACGCCACCTGCGTCCCTCAGCCATAGAGTAGGTAGGAGCAATTGTAAGGAAGACCACATGCCTGTTCTTTTGAAATATCCATAGCGTTCAATCAGAGGAAACCTTTGACAGTTTGTATAGTGAGGGCCTGCTTTTGTGCCCAGATTGGGAGCGAAAGAAGCTCATAAATGATTTCCCCCAATTTGACAGTGCCACTCTGACCAATATTTCCCTCTTCCTGTTTAAAAGAGAGATGCGGGCTGTTTTATTTGGCATATGGAATGATCTGGTGAATACAAACAAGGTGAGCTATCTGACTGCATGGGCAAGAGATTTTTCTTTGAGGAATCAGACGTGATAAATTTGAAGATGACATTTCATATCAGACCATTGTTGGGTTGCCAGTCCAAATAAAATTCCCTCGGCTAGAAGTGAATTGGGCTGTCACAGTCATATCACTCAGCGAGATGCTTCGGTACCTGTTTGAAATTCCACTAAAGCAGCCGCTGGTTTTAATTATGTAGCTCCAACTGCCGCCGTCGGCAACCAGAGCATCTTCCGTCGGTTTCTAGCAGCTTAATGCAGATCCTGAAATTGTTTTAATTGGAGCATCTGTTTACATGAGACCAAGCAGGAGAGGAGTCTTCTTGTTTGTTGGCCTCCTCCTGGTTGAAAGCCATACCAAAAATGACCAAAACTCAACAAATCTGCCACTGTTTGGGCTGATAGATAAGTTGTGAACTTGCAAGCTCTAAATGTTTGGTTGGCAAATTGTTTGGCCGGAAGTGAGTATGGATGGTTGCAGAGTGGGATAGTGATGTTCCTTACCTTTCAGCAGTTTTCTAGATGCCAAGAATAGTATTCCTTCTCCTTTTCTCTCAACTAAAGCAGGTCTGCAACCATATAGATCAGCTTTCCTCATCCTGGTGCTCTCCATGTCTGCCTACAACTCCCATCAATCCCAGCCAGTGAAGC